TTTTTTTTTTTTTTTTTTTTTTTTTTTTTTTTTTTTTTTTTTTTTTTTTTTTTAATCCTCTGCGAATGTTTAGCTGATTCATTTTCCGAAAGTTTCCTAGCTTAACTGAGTACCGGGGGAAAATATTTATCATTTTTTAAAAAACATTTTATCACTATCACGGAAAGTTCTCAGAAGCGTAGAATATGCAGTCATGATATTTATAATTAACATTTTCGTTTAATATTTGCTTTTATTTAATTTGAAAACAGGCATACGTACCGTACAAGGGGTTGCAGATGCACTTGATAAGGAGGTAACATGGATAAAAAGTAAACGCACTTCTTCATGGGGCTGGCGCGAGAATACACCCAGAATGATCTCTGCGTTATACCTAGCAGGATATGGCAGATTTGATGGTACACACCTAGAAGAAGAACTAATGGCAAAACAAGCAAAGCTCTTAGCATCTGTTGCCGTATCGAAGTATCAATTCATTTTATTTTATTCTAGTTGCTAATTGTACTTTTATAAATATTCAAAGTTCTTGTTGAGAACATAATATCTACTCTTCATTAGTTTTAGTCATCTAGTAGAAATAAAAGATTTTTTCCAGAATGGGTTAGGGCAAAATGTTTTTGTAAATATAAATAAGAACTGCATATTAAATAAGGATTCAATTTGTAGAGCGTCTCTATGTGTCAGGCCGCAATGCAAGCACTGAATTGCCCTGAAGTAAAATTTCTTTCATAATAAATAATCTTTGAATATGAAATTTAGAAAAAGCTGGGGATATGCAAGGTATCGTAAAACAGAAATTTCACAATCTAAATTTTCAATTTTTAGATTACCTGAAGTCAAGTTAAAAACTCTCCAAAGTTTCATCCATTGATATTCACTCACTGTTTCTCATATTGTGTCCTAGAACAATAGTTCTTTTCTGTAAATAACAATACGAATTTCAAAAAACTTTGATTTTTCAGCATTTGGGAGCAAAATAACCGAAATTCAGATATTTTTGTGAATTTTAAGTATTTTCCTCAGATTTTCTTTGATATTTTTAAATAGTAGTTAAAGCATATTTCAATAAACTCAGTCATGTTTCTAAATATTTATAAGAGAAAACGAACTTGAACTATAATAAAAAATTTAAAAATATTCTTAATTATTGTATATTCTTAATTATCGTATATTGCTATTCCTAATAAAATTTAAATAATGCTTCTTTTTTGATTTATGGAGTTTTATTACAATTGCGTCACTTTCTTTTCATATATTATAATTTGTATAAATGTTAACTCAATAGCTTATTAGAAGTTTTCTACTTATAATTAAAAGAAATATAAAGATTAAATAATTTTTTTTAAGAACATGAAGTTTTTATCTAGACTATAATCTATGTATAGATTGCGAATCCCTTAGTAGTATTTTTTTAGTAAGTTTGCAGTCAGATGCTTTTTTTATGTCTTATTAAACCTCTCGTCATAAAAAAGCATTATATATTACTAGGAGGCTTCGCCCCCTGCTCGCTAACGCTCACCAACCCCCGGAACTGCTTTCGCAGTTCATTTCGGATTGCTTCACAATCCAATGCTCGCTTCGCTCGCTCTTTGGATACGTTCTTAACGTCTAACTTTTGTATACTTTTTTGAATACTGAAGTACCGAAAACTTTTCACTGTAGAAAATTCTAAACCTGTACATTTTAATATTAATTTGAAGTTGCAAACAGTTCACATATTTTTCTTAATCACACTATTCTAAATTTCAGTTGTTGAAAAAAGTAACTGTTGTAAGTTTTGTTTCAAAGTCTTTCCCACCAGAGGGATAAAGCCATGTGTTGTAAGCGTCAAATTTAGCATGAAGTTGTAAAATGTAATGAAAGAGGGTCATAGCAATAATGAAAGTAGAAGTAAAGTTAGTACTGTAAAATTAAAACAATATTTTTAATCAATGAGCCAAGTTCTTCAAGAATGGCGATACAACACTTATAGAATTGAAGGATTTGTTACGTCAAGCACTCAGGTATCATAATTTTGATCTAAGGCTCCTATACTATCAGAGCTGACCTATCAAGCAATATTGGAGCAAAAAAGTTCGCAAGTTACCGTTATGTTAGTATTGTGCTTATGTTAGCTCTTTGGAGCAAAAATAGATGATGAGTCGGCCTGTCTAATTAAGGGGCTCTATTTTGATCTAGTTGCGCTTCTATGTCATTTTGATTTATGTTGCTAAGTTAACTTTCAAAAAATTCTATGGCTGGCAACAGCATTTTTATTTTTTAAGTTATTTATTTTTATTTGTTTTAGAATTCGTTATTTTTTTAGCGAAATGTTTTTAACCTAACAGAATTCTTTGCCGACTGAAATGTGAAGAAAATAAAGTAAATATTTAATTGTTGTGAAAAGAGTCTTATTTAGTTGTACAAAGTACTTCAGCCAAAATTTGGGAGCCACGTAAGAGAATTATAAATATTAGATCAGAAACACATCATTAAAAGGCAGAATGCTTTGGTGTTTTCAAAAAGTAAACAAAACAAAGCAAACGTTGCCACCGGCGGAAAAGAAATACAGCTAAAATGTGGGAGCCACGTAAGAGAATTATATATAATAGAAGTTTACTCTAATCTGTCAAAACATTAACTCGTGTTATGTATTTTAGAATTTAGACAGAAAAATATCAAGTAAAGCAATATGGAAAAATTTGCAATTAACAAAATGTTTGATTTTTTATCATACTAATTGTCATAAAAATTTATTTTTATAAATGTATCTATATTTTATATACATTTTATATAACAAATATCTATTTTATTTTTATTATATTTCTTTATTAATTCTATTATAAAATTATTTTACAGAAATTCCTTATCAAGCGAGTTTCTAAGCATGCTTATTAATGGTTTATTGATAACTTGTCACAATCCTCGTCACTTTTTTGGACAAAATTTGATAGAACTCCTCAAGGAAGAAATCGAATCGTCAAACAACTTTACCCACCCCATAACTTATTTAAGCCTTTGCAATGCAAATCAGTCCTGGACACTTAATGCTGAACAAGACATGGATAAAATTCTAAGCATCAATAATTCTTTCTACGAATTTTTTAAAGGTAATTTCCAAAGAATCTTAATCCTTTTCTTACAATATTTCCGAAAGTCGAATCGGTGATTTTATTGCGGGTTATTTATATTTTTACACCTACAAATTTTCTTTTACTAAGCATTCTGCCTGTAGAGGACATTGACTCATTTATCTAACTGATACCTGTAAAACTGGGAAAAGTCTAAAACCTTACCTAAGCCTTACCTTAAAGCTAAACTGAATTAGGTACGTATGATTGAAACAGTGAAGAAATTATATTTACCAATGTCCGTAGACTATATTGAGCGATGTAGAAAAGTTAGAATCCATTCTTTAACATTATTCTTTGATAATCTCGATATTAACACTAGAAAGACGGAAACTTAAAGTATACCTATATTGCCCAAAAGCAGTCAAAATGACTGGATTCTAAAAGAATAAATAATGTTTAAAGAAATTTGTTTAAAATTAATTTAATATTTTTTATATTATTTACAGTTATATAACAAGTTATTAGTAAATATTAATAATAAAAAAATTATATGTTCCATAAAATTTTAAGAAATTGTTAAGAATACATGACTTTAATAACGTAACGCGTCATAAAACGAAAACCCCTATCGATTTTTCCTATAACTCCTTACGTACCAGAGAAGTGTCTACAATATGTAATATTATATTACGAAGAAATTGTAGCTGGTGGAAAGAAATCGATTGCAGATTTGAAACTAGCAAAGCGTAAATATCTAAGATCCGCTCAAACGTCAACATATCATTTTTGCGTTAGTAGTAGTTTTGCGTTAGCAACATAAGTATTTTTTGGGTTAAAGGCCTGTTTACACGGTCCAATTTCT